TGGACCTTGCCAGGAAGTTGGTCAATCCCCCTCATGTCCTTCAGAGGTTCCTGCTGTCCCAGTCTTATCTCTGCCTGACTGGCTATTGTGTGCGTGAGCAGCCTGCTCCGGCACCGCCCACAACAGTGCCCTGTGGTGCCCCGCCCGTGGGTGGATAGGAGTTTAAAGAGTTGGGAGCGTCTTTCCCCAAGGGGAAGGCTTGATTTCCCGGCAACCTTCGCTGTTTTACCGGCGTGTTATTTGCATCTCTGATCACGTGTTACCGCACCTGCGCAGTCCACTGAGGTGGTTAGAGTAGCCGACTGGTCCAGACTCCATTTCCCGGTGTGCTCCGCGGTGGCGTGGGGTTTAACGGGTGTTGTAGTCCGGCTGCCTCTCTAACTGGTCCAGCAACAGCGACCGGCAGGATGTCGGAGGTGGCTGCCACCGCTACGCGCTCTGGACGACTTTGTTCTGGGGTCGGCGCGTCTGGCGGTTCCGGATCCACGCGACCCTCAGAGATGGTGCCACCGCGTCATCAACAACCTTCTTTACTACCAAGCCAACTACCTTCTCTGCTTCGTCTTCGGTCTCGCTCTGGCCGGGTGAGGGGAGGGAGGGAGCGAGGGAGGAAGGCGGCAGTTGGCCGGGGACGCCTGCAGGGCAAGAGGGTGTACCCGTGGGTCTTTGAGGACTGGGAAGGGGAACAGAAGAGAATGCAAACCAGGAAAGGAGAATCCGGTAAAGATGGAAGGCCTGACGGGGATGCAGGGGAGGACTTGAAGGCGGTGGAACCAGGAGGTTCCTGGTTATTAGGAGGACCTGGTGGGGATAGAGCCTGGCTGAGGGCCTGAAGGGGCTAGAAGGGCTGGAGGGAAAGACCTGGGGAGGATGGAGAAAAGCATGGACTGAACGGGCAAGTGGCTGGGAGACAGACCTGAAAATATAGAGAGCTTGGAAAGAGGGACATGAAAAGATCTGAATGATGAGGCCAGGTTAAGGCGGCCCTGGAGGACTAGAGCAGTGCTGAGACGTGGTAAAGTTAAAAGGTTTGGAAGGTGGACTAGTGGAGGATCTAGTTTTGGAGAGGAATCTGGTTATGACTGGAACGCCTAGGAGCAGGTACCTGTTGGGGAAGTTGGGCCCCAAGAGAGGATCTAGGATTGGAAAGCCTGAGACCAGAGAAGTATGGAATCTGCAGGAAGGATTTGGGCAGGGTTGGAAGTTGTGAGACCGAAGGCCTGAAAGGGGTTCCAGCAATGATGAGAGGACAATTTTATAGGGAAATGAGAGCCCTGAAGGGGCATTTTGAAGGGAGGGAAGGCCGGGTCTGGGGAGAAAGAATGTGTGGAGACAGAAAGTCTGAAATAGGAACTCGCGGGGACTGGACTCAGAGGGGGGATTTGGGGGCATGTAGTGAGGCTGGGGCGGAAGGGGTGCCCTGCGGGGATAAAGGCGGAAGGAAAGCCCTGGGAAGTGTTGGGAGCCTGGGGGTGGGGTCTAGCAAGGGAGGAAGATGAGACTGGGTCTTAAAAGTCATAAGCCTTGGGACGATGGACCTACTGGAGACAGGGCTGGTGCCAGTATTGTGGGGCTGGAGGGTCCAGAGATGGGGCCCAGGACTGGACAGATGGTGGTCCGAGAGGCTCGGGGGCGGGCAGCCCTCTCCCCGCCTGCCGGGCTAGCTTAGTTCCCTTTTCCTTGCAGGTATGTGCGCCCGCTGCACACGCTCCTAAGCGCACTGGTAGTAGCAGTGGCCCTCGGTGTGCTGGTGTGGGCAGCTGAGACCCGCGCGGCCGTGCGCCGCTGCCGCCGCAGCCACCCCGCCGCCTGCCCGTAGGCCTCTTTGTTCTCTGGGTCGTCGGTGGCGCTTGCACCTTCCTGCTCAGCATCGCCGGGCCGGTACTTCGTGAGTCTCCACTACCCAGAGATAGCCGGGAATACAGCCAACGCATGCTTAAGGAGCTAGGCCCGCCCTGCCCGGGTTCCTGGGCTGAGGGGGCTGGGAACCCCTTCGAATGGCCACGCCCCCTCAAAGGAGCCTTCCCTGGCTCTGCTCCTTACTTCTGGGAACACCCCTCTTATTACCACTTTTCTGGGTCTCTCTCCTGGCGTTAAGTGCCTTCCACTGGCCACGTCCCCGTTACTGGACGCCCTCCCTGGCCACACCCTTGTTGCGAAGCCAATTGCCCGGCCACGCTTTCAGGATCAGCGGCATCCTGGCCACTCACCACTCCATTGGCCTGTATGCCTGCCAATTCCCTTCCTTGGGCCCCTATTGGCTGCAAGCTGAGATCCCATCCCACTGACCCTCACTCCTCTCGATACCGCCCACAGTGATCCTGGTGCACGCCTCCCTGCGTCTGCGCAACCTTAAAAACAAGATTGAGAACAAGATCGAGAGCATTGGTCTCAAGCGGACACCAATGGGGCTGCTACTAGAGGCGCTGGGACAAGAGCAGGAGGCTGGGTCCTAGGGGGTTGGGATTTGTAGCCAGGATCTGGAGAATACAATCCCCACCCCAGCCTGCCCCTGGGACCCTGCAGCCTTTTCCTAGCCCTTAAAATAAGAGCTTAGAGCCCCCTACCCAAAGCACCAGGGCATCTGTGACCACCCTACCCCTACCACAATACAAAACTAGGATATTCCTCACACCCAGTTCCAATTAGCTAGGAACCAGCATCTTTCCCACTCCAGAACTTGGGCCCCAGAGTCACTTGAATCTTGCCCCAAAATTGGGGCTTTAGACCATAGCATCCATGGCTGATCTCAAATGGTGACCTAGAAACACTCTGCCAACCTGCATCTGGTACCCACCCTTCTTCCATGTTCAATCCCCTAAGCTGGAGCCTGAGCAAGGCATTCTCAGATCTTGAACCCTGGACCATCGCTCTTCCAGACCCCACACCAGCTTCCAAACCAGGTCAAGGTATTGCCAAATCTTGAACCCAAGACCCAAGTGTTTTCAGCCTCCATCTGGTTGGAGTCAGGTATCCTAGCCCTGTTGGACCTTTAGTCCCAGGTGACCCCAACCCTCACCAATCCCACTTGCCTCCCTCCAGCTCTGCTTAGGGATTTTACCCCTCCCAGTGTTCCACAGTGATGAGGACTGTGGAATGGGGGTGGGATAGGCATATGGGGCATATGTCAGTGTTGCTGCAACAATAAAGGCTGTTGCATCTCAAGTCAACTTGGGCCTCCTGGGTAAAGTCCTTGTGTGATTCAGTGGATAGTATTGGCCATCTGCTTTTCAAGTCTGTAGACCAGGTGTCCCTAACTGGGTCTTAGTGAAATACGTGGGTTGAAAGGGTGTTCTCTCAGGCCCTTCCTCAAAACCTGTTACCTCTAGGCCAGCATTAAAGCACATGAAAGTTGAGACCAGCAGATGGCATAACCTTTACATTGCTGAACTCCCAGTCGACTATGGTCTGAGTCCCGGAACGGGCGGCTTAAAACTCATGCTGGGTGTGTGGGTTTTGGTGCATGCCCCAAATCCCAAGAGGAGAATGGAGGAGAAGGGACTGCAGTGTGGCCATCCCCCCTGGGAAGTGATTTCTTGCTTTCTGTCTTTGTCTCTCCAGTGAGCACACACATCCTATAGCAAAAATCTCTCTTAAAATAAATAAATAAAAAGGACAGGGAAGTTAAGGGGTAGAGTGTTTATTATCATCATTTGTATTACTAAGGGGTCTTATTCAAGGTTGACTAGAAATCTAATCTCAACAGGCAAAGAAACTGCCCCATGTCACAAAATAAGTCAGAACATGACACTGGGCCAGCCCCATAGTCTAATTGTTAAGGGAGCCAGATCCCATGTGGCCAACTGCAGTTCAAATCCCAGCTCAGGTGGCTTGAGAAATACTGGGCAGATGTATGTACATGCCCAAAATCCCAACAGGATGGAGAAATAGAGAAGTGATTGACATAGACCACGCCCCATTGAGAGCCACGTTCTCTCTGGCAATTGAGAAAAAAAAAAGATGACACTATCAGGCTATCGCCACTGTTACATTATTTTTTTCCTGTGAAAATGTATCATCTGGTATTTTTTTGAAATTTTATCTAACTTTATTTTTCATTTGACTAGAGAGAGACAGAATGAGAGAGAGTGAGGGAGAAAGTGAGAAAGCAAGTCTCCAGGTCTGGGACTCGAACCAGTCAGCTGCATGGGAGTACAACACCCTTAACCACCACCCCACCTGCCAGCTCCAACTGGTCTTTTGAAAAAAAAATATTTTTTAATTACTTTTTAAAGAATTTTACTGGCTGCTATTATTATTTTTAATTTGACCAGACATTGACAGAGAGAGACAAAGGGAAACTGAGAAACCAAGCCACCAGGTCCAGGACTTATACCACAGTTGGCCATGTGGAGGTCTGGTGCCTTCAACACCATGCCACCTGCCGGCCCCTATTATTTTTTACCTTGCTAACATCATCAGAGAGAGAGAGAAAAAAAGAGAAAAAATGAGAAAGGAGTCAGCCATGTGGGAGTCCAGCATCCCAACCACCATACCACCTGCTAGCCCCTGTATTATCTGGTCTTAACTAAAGAAAACATATTATCCATGGGCCTCTAAGACAAGGCATACAAAAGAACAACACACAGGTTCAGTTTACATATTTATTATAGAAATCCCCTTCCAGCGTGGGTAGTGTCTTGGGCCCAGCCCCACTGGTACAAAAAGAAAAGTTTAACACCAGATAAAGGGGGTAGGGAGGGCCCCCCCCCACCAGCTCCAGAAAATCACAGACGGGTATCATAGAAAACACAGCTGTGTGGATTTGTTTAAAAAGTTGTGAATGGAAGGAAAGCCAAGGAAGATGTGTCGTGACCTGTGGCCCATGGCCAGATGTCACCTGAGGATTTTACTGGCATTATCCAGTAAAGGATGGCTCAACCACCGCAGCATCCCAGGAAACAACATACTGGATAGCTCTGCCCCCAGCCCTTCTTGTGGGGCCTCCTGATTAGAGATGAGCATGGCAGAGGCTGTGGGCACAGGCAGGGACAGGGGTTCCTTCAGGGACCCCAGCCAGACTTCAATCCTTCCAAATGTGGGTAGAGCACCCACTTCCCTAAGAACTGCCCTGGTGGGGGGTAGCAAGGAGTTCTCTTTATGCTGGAGTATCCTGGCTGCCCCATACAGGACCCAGAGACCCTACATGGACTATTTTGTGGAAGGAGTTCCTGAATGGAACAGGCTGGGCATAGGGACAGGAATGAACCCAACCAGGACAAGATCACAGTTTCCCTTTTATAAAATGCCTAATGTTGGGGAAGACAGTGAATACCTAAATCACAACTGTAAACAGAAATGGAGGAAGGGGGCTTGGAGTGCCTATGACAGCATCCCCCCCTTTTTAAACTGGCTGAGGTCCCCCATCCCCAGCATACTGTAAGAGAAGAAGAAGGATGTCAGACACCTTCCTGGGCCGATGGGTATCCAGGGACCTGGGACGATCAAGTTGGCACCCCCTAGGACGGCCAGCAACCACATCCCAGGGCTCAGCGAGGTCAGCTGTGTGCTCCCCAGACTGGAGTCATGCCCAGGCTGAGGGGCATATCAGAAGGGGTCAGACCAGTGTCCCTGGGGTCTGGGGGTCAGAACTAGAGGACTGCTCCCCCTCTAGCGTCAGGTCACTTAAACGAGCGTTCAGCTCCGAGGGGTACAGGAAGTCCGCGTAGTATCTTTAGAAGGGGTAGCAGGAATCCGGAGGACAGAGTGTGGAAGACCGAGAGAGAGGAAGACAGACAAGACACAGAAAGAGAGACGAAAAGAAGCTCGTTAAAGAGGTGGAGGCAGGCACAGGACAGCACCTCCACGCTCCCAAATACGGGGCATGGAGAAAAGAGGAAGAAAAAGGTGAGGGGCACGTGATGTCCCTTCCTCCCAGCACCCTGGCTTCAAGGCTCATTTTCAGCTGACATGCACTAGTTAAAACATTACAATTTTTCTGTGGCTTAGGAAAGAACTGCTGCAGGTCATGCCCAGTTCAGTGCCCCTGTGCCAATGCGGCAACTAGTTTTCTTGGCCAAGTCAACAGCGATCATGACTAGCTGCTCTCTGGCCTAGATCATCTTTGCCATCTGCCTCAAGAGACCCCCTACCCATCAGTAAAAGCAACCCCCATACCTGCCGGAGACAGGGGGAGCCGTGAAACTCCTCGAGTGTGGGAGCTGCGCCTGGCTGGGGG